TGGTAAAGAGTCTGTAAGATTCGGAGGCGGCGGTGAGCTCTTTTTTAATGTAAAAGATGTCTCGCCAGGACAATTTGGAGCAAAAATAACAAAGGAATTTGCCAGAAAAACTGTATTGGAGTGGAGCTCCATATAAAAATAGTGGAGGTTGGAGACCTACACGTGCGCGAGAGAAAAGGATGGAGAAAGATTTGGAGGTAGAAAAGCGATAGCCCTGGTTAGTGGCCCAGAAGGATACTGATGATATTGCAAACTGAAGGAATTGGCGGAGAGTTGAAATGGATGTGCCAGAGGCGAAGATGGTTAAATCATCAACATATAGTGATAATCGGAACATGGTACGCCAAGTGGTATCATATGTTTTTTCTTGGTCAAAGAATATGGCTAATACTGAGTCATGACGTGTAAATGTAGATGTAATGCGTTTCGAAATGAGCAAGGGGGTCAGCTGTACGGTGGTTAATGGTTAAAAGCAAAAGTAAATGTGCTAAACATCAAGATCATGTAGCACTATAGAGAGGTATAGTAAAGGGTAGTGAGTTAGTAGTTAGTTACTATACGTTAACAAGCTTAAGTAATATTGGGAAGGTTAAAGATGGGTAAAGGAGTTGATGAGTGAATGGATTAGGGTAGGATTAGCCATGGGGGATTAGATCAAGCGATGGATATATATGCGTCTGAGGAAGGAAAACAGGTTGTCAAAGCAGAAAGTGTGGGATTCTGTAAAGATGTTGGGAGGTTGGGAGGTCGGTGAAGGGAGGATAGGTGGGAGAAAGCACAGGTACAGACTGCATCAAAATGTGGACAGGGCAACAGAATGTGTGGAACTGAAAGAGGGACATTACATAGGGAACATAGGGGCGGATCTGAAAGTGACATCAGATATTGTATTAGACGGGTGTGGCGAATACGTCTCCTTCTCAACTGAGAAGGAATGAGAAGATTGTGAGATTCAAGATACCACATTAAGCGGAAGTTAACCATTCACTCTAGTAGTTTGCACAAGCAGCTAGTTAAAGCAAAAGGGGGGTAATCTTGAGGTAGGGTACTCGATTTATTGGGTTTCAAGAAGGGGACAATAAGAGCTTCTCGCCTATGAGAAGGCAAATTCCCTGTCGTCCACGTTTGGTTGAAAATAGTCAATAGGAAGGATAGAGAGGAAGATGGAAGGTGTCGGAGCATAGTAGTGAATACCGTCCGGGTCTTCATGGGTGTTGCAGCACGACTGTAAGGCAGCGTTGAGTCTAGAGGAAGAAAAAGGAGCATTATAGGGCTCAGCAGAGGACAGGGTGAAGATTATGGGGGGGTGTTTTCTGATGGCCTGGAGAAAGGTGAGAGCCACTAATGACCTGGCTGAAATAGTCACCCAAATCTTTAGCGACTTGGAAAGGATCAGAGATGAGTATCTCGAATATGAAGGACGTGGGCTGGATGGGGGGACGTTTGCTTGATACTTTATGGATCCGGTGCCAAAATACTGAAATAGATGTAGATGTACATGAAGGAGCATAATTTCGCCACCTATTTATTTTACTGTTCTGGACTGTACGAAGAAGACAGGCGGATGTATTTTTTTAACTGAGATAAGGGCTGATAGCCGATTAGGGGTGCCTCTGATCCAGATTCCGCGTTTTAAGCGAAACGCTTTGGTACACATTTGGATGTATAAGGTTCGAGGAATGGCTGTGTAAGCAACTCCAAGGACTGTAACTGTGAAACACTGTAGATTGCGTGTCAAAGTGTGTGGGGCGATCTGAATTAAGAATAATGAGGTCAGTTGTGGAAAGGATCGACCACGGGTGGTAGAATCACCCAAAAAGAGTGTGGCGGCAGTTAAAATCACCAACCAGCGGCGAAGAAAGGTGCGAATGACTGCAAGGGACAGTGGTTTGAATGGGTGGTATAACAAGGTTTTTTTTCTGATGGATAAGTATTGGCGAGACATTAAGGTAATGCGGGGAAGAGACAAAATGGTAATTAGGAATTGGTATAGGAGGATGGAAGAAAAGTTTCTTGGAGACAGATAATAGATGGGTTATACGAAGAAAGGATATGAAAGGAAACCGCGAATATTCCAATATAGGAGGGCTATTGCTTAATTGATCTACGAGTGATAACGGTTACAGTGCGTGTTGGAGAATTTGAAGGGGAAGGAGCTAGGGGTGAGATAAGAAATGAAAGGGAGGAGGTGGTGTAGTAGCAGGAGGTGGAGATTCTAGGGAAGTGCATAGTTGTGACATAAGGGATTCACGTGTGTATCCAGAAGGCAGTGGAAGGGATAGTGGGGATGGCGGGAAGGTTAATGTGGGTAGAGCTGGAGGGGATGGAGTATGTTGGGAGGGAGTAGGAGGAGGAGGGGGAATATGAGTAGGAGGAGGATGGATATCGGCAGTCACTTTGAGTGTGGAGGGAGTGGGAGTTATGGAATTGGATGAGGGGTTTCGGTGTCAATTTGGGACTCGGGCAGATAATTTTGAATATCGTCAAGAGTTTCTGTAATGGAGTTGGTTGTGGAGTTTTAAGAGACAAAGGTTTTCTTGTGAGGGGGGGGGGGAGAAGACTGGTGTCTGAGGAGTAGAGGCAGAGGTACGTGGGGGTGAGTGTGTGGTGGGAGAAGGGATAGAACGTTTAGTCTGTCTGCTGCGGGTAGTGCGGGGAGGAAAAGGGGGAGGTGTTGGGGCTGCAGTAGAGATCGGAGTGTCTGGATTTAGGGTGGCAAAAGAACTTGACTGGGGGAGGTATGAGGTAGAAGAGGGGAATTAAGATGGAGGAGGGTGTAGGAACATCTTGGGAGGGAGGGGGAGGGACAGAGCGAGCGACATTACTGTTGCCACTTCAGACACAAACTTGTAGGTGGGGCAGCCGCTATAAAATACGTTATGGGGGCCTCCACAGTTGGCACATGTGTTTGACTGTGCAGAGCAGTTTGATCGGTTATGACCAGTTTGGGCACATAGAGGGCATCGGACTAGACAACTAAACAGGGGAAAACCATGGCTCCCCAGGCGGTTCAGGACTGGCACAAAGTCAGCCTTTCAATACGCTCTCATACCTTAGGAAGTGGAGTATAATAGAGGTAGGAGAAGGGACGGAAACGAAAAAGCGGGAGGGGTAAAAGACGGGATATCCCCAGCATTAAGTCCCAGTCCCCGTGTCCTAACCTCCCCCCACGACAACAACGGGAAGAAAAAGATTGAAAAGGGTAATGAGGGGAGTTAATTGACGATTAAATGTGAAACATCAAGTCATATAGCAGTTCAGAATAATATGGCATTGAAAGGGGCTAAGAGGGGTGAGGGTAGTGAGGGTGAGTAAATGGGCTAAGGTGGGGATTAACAGGGGTTAATCCCCACACTTCTTCCTTTGACAAAGTTGTCAAAGGAAGAAGTGTAAAGGAGGATGGATGTTGGTTACTTTAAGTGTAGACTGATTGGGAACAGAGATTGGAAGATGGATGAGGTGTAAGGATGTTACTTTGAATCACGATTAGATAGTTTTGAATGTCTGCCAGAGTTTCTGAAGTGGATTTGGTTGGGGAGGTCTGAGAAACAAAGGTTTTCTTATGAGGAAGAGAAGGATAGGCATCTGAGAGCAAGAGGTAGGTGGAGGAGTGGGTGTAGTAGATATTTTGGACGTTTATATTGTCTGCTACGAGGGGGGAGCGGGGTAGGTGTCAGGTCAGTGGTAGAGACTGCGATGTCTGGACTGCAAAATAATTTGATTGGGAAAGGAGGGGGATAAAATTGGAAATGTAAGATAGAGGAATAAATACAGGGGAGGGGGCATAGAAACATCTTGGGAGGAAGGGGGGGCGGAGTGAAAGGCACCATTGGAGTAGGAAGTAAGAGAAAAACCTCGTCACTGTGCTTCCTGTCTGGCCTCGCGATCTGCAAGGCCAAGTTTGAATCTCTGAGTTGCCACCACACACCCAAACTTGTAGATCCGGCAGCCCCAATAAAATACATTATGAGAGCCACCACAACTGGCACATATGCATGACTGTGCAGAGCAGTTTGATTGATCATGAACAGGTAGGGACATACAGGGCATCAAGCTGTGGAGCGGCAGTATTTGGCAGGGTAGCCTAGACACCAACAATTCTGACATTGAGTGGAGGCTGATATGGTCTATAATCATGAAGGGAGAGGTCATGTGTATGGAAGGTAATCTTGGTAATATTTACAATCTGACCAATCATTGTTGTAGACAGGGCAGTTTGTCGGGGAGATGGAAGCAGTTCCGGTACAAGTATTGAGGGAGGGATGAGGCTGGGCAGGGATGGGTTTGACAGTGAAGACAGTCAGTGTTGATAATGCTTTAGCTTGGGATTCAGACGTAACTATGGCAAGACAGGAACGATTGAGGCAGAGAAAACTTTGCATACATATTTTTTGAGGCATTGCTGGAAGAGGAGTGTTACCAGAGCAACGGATTGTAGAGGGATCCCATTTGGCAGAGTACTTAAAAGATTTGCAGAGGTGGGAATAATAGAATGGGGCCTGGAGTATGTTGGGGAGAGAAATGGTCCACCCCTCAGGGTCCCCTTGAGGGGAAAGAGCTAGACATCTAAATGGGAATGGCTCTCACACTTTTGAAAGTGGATAAAACAAGTTGGAGAAGAGAAAGAAAATGAGAGGGGAAGAGAAAGCTGTGCAAAATTAGTTGATTCGAGGGCTGAGGCCCAAGGTAGGGGTGATCCCAGGTGTTGGGCCTCAGTCTCAGTCTCCTAAGCACCCCCCCCCCCCCAACCAATAATGGGCAAGGGATTGGGAGGCAATTAACTTTTGATTTGAACTAATCACTTTGTAACTCATTCATCTACTTTTAACAGTTCAGTTTTATATCCTACAACAGTGTTTTTAAAAGTTTTCACATTTCAATCTTTATTTTCTGTCCAGATATACATTTTAAAGAAAGGCACTGAAAATTACATTGTAAAATGCCTAAACTGTACACAACAACTACTATACTTTGAATAAGGAAAAAGAAAAGTCTTCATATTTAGAATACTCGACTTTATAAAACAAATGCACTCTTATTACAAATTACCTTTACAAATATGTTTATCCATGGTAACATGTCTTCACAAAGATAAATTTTGTACTTAGCTGAGATGAGGCTGTGAAGACCATGAACAGCCATATACAACTTGGCAACAAAGTGTAAACATGTACATGTGTTTAGCGTGTCCATTTCAAATGTGCACAAAAGTATGCCTTTTGAAACCAGGAAGTTACATATATCATATGTGCTGAATGAGTGTTATGAATAAAAGGACTATGGAAATCTGTAAAAATACTTACAATTGTCACCTAGCAATACAACTTTTGGTACCACTTTGTTGGTGACACTTCTTTTTCACATTTACAGCTAAAAGTAAAAAGGTTGACTTGGCCCTGAAGTTTCAGGATATGAGATTGAGGTTGGGTACCTACTCAAATTTAAAATAACCTTGCTATCTTTGTACAAGCAGTCAATTAACGAGCCACTCAAACTGTTTGGTTTGCAGTAGTGGAGCACACGCAGAGCAATATCTACAAATATAATCCTTTACAAGGCCAGCAAGACTGCTCGAGGAAGAATCTAGGAATTAAAACTCGAGCTATGAAGGGAAGGAGGGACAGCTTTCAGTATATTGTCCATAAATAGGTGTCTAAAATATTCATGGAACACAGAGCATCTGTCATCCCACTGAATTGTACTTCCAACAACAGACGCATATAGCAGTTCTCTTACATATTTATTCTATTTATCACGGGACACTGTTATTAATTTGTGCGACTCATTTCTCAAAGTATATCTACAGTAGGAATGTCACATAAAGGTGATATCCACTATCTGACTAATCAAAGAAATTGAAGTAACACTCAAAGGGATTACAGGTATATGACAATAGCTGATTAAATATGAGTCTACTGTGTTACATATCATTACACTTTATGTTATATCAATGTTATTGATATGGTCATCATCAGTAAAAATAATGTGCCTCTTAATAATGCAAAGTGTACCTGGTATGTATAGTCTACAGAAATATAATGTACAATAGGGTACATACAAATTCTCTATGTACAATATCATGTTACACTAAGCTATTGCATAACATATATGTGCAAAGATGACAGAAATCACTTTTTCTGCAGCTTAGCACTCAACAATTCTCAATAATAAATTCCTCAAAAAACATTCTCATACATCTTTGTTAAAAAATAAGAAAAAAATAAAAAATAAAATACAATGCACATTTTCACTGCTGACACTGAAGAAGATAATCCTGTATATTTTGATATTCTTATTAAACAGAATAACAACTATAAATTTTATCTGCCTCATGCGGGACTCTCTCAAAATTCAGTAACTACATTTTATGAAGCAAAATTGTGAGGGAGGGGAAAATTCAAACAATTTTCCAAACTGAAAAACAGGATGACAAGATTATGCTCCTCATCATAAGGCAATATAATTTTTTTTTAGTAGTCATTAATTTCTGTTTATACTAAATTATAAAAAAATAAAATCTGTAGAAGGTGCAACAGTTCTCCAATGTAATCTGATGCTAACAAGACCTAAATGGACCATTTCTGCAGCCACAAGACGACACTTTTCAATGCATAAATTGCATAATGATATGATAATCCAGTTTGACTTTGCTGATTATCTCACACACATGCATGAATGTACACACACCCATAAAAAAATAAATCAAATAAAAAAATGAAAAATAATAATGATATACTACACAAAATCATATCAATGACAACAATTCAGTACTCTGTTGTTTACTCACAACCATCCTTCACTACTGGGGTAACTGTATGCACACTCCAGTGTTGCATCGGCAAAGTCAAATTTTAGATATTGTAAGGACAATTATTGCAATTTCCACAGTCCACTTTTAAAACTACCTCTGACTCAGTCTTTGCTTCAGACTCCGAAGCTTCTGACAGAAGAAGGTCTCTAGTGTTGCTGCACAAGAACAGAAGGAAGAATTAGGAGGATTATAGAGTCGGCAGTTGTCAAACACCAACATGACGTCCCCAATGAACTGGGCGAGTTGCTGGTATGACTGGGCTTCCACACGACTTTCTACTGTCTTGAGGTCCATTGGCTCCTTAACAACTTTATAATAATCAGGTACCTCTGAGGGATCCACTGGCTCAAGGAATGGCCACGCATTTTTGTGTTGCTGCAAAGTTAGAAAATAACAATTAGAAAAATAAATAAAATAAAAAATAATAACAAATAAGTAAATAAATACAAGTAATAGTAATAAACACCAACAGCATGACTAAAAATTAAATTACCATTAGTAATCAATAAAAATGTACATTTTGACATACTTTATCTATATTCATTATCACAAACATATCTCTCTGATACATAAAGGAGAGATAATATCTCCAAAGAGATCATATCTCCAAACATATATACTCTATGAATGGGTATATGTACATGCACACACCTACACTTGCACATCAAAAATTATGACTATTCTAAAATCAGTAAAAGAGGTACTTACTATAAGGCTTTTGGTGACTTTTTTAAGTTCTGTGTAATCCTTTGATGTGAGATTCTTCTGACATGGATAATTCCACACATTATTTGAATCACATTTGGGACAAATATAATCATCTATGTCATCAGCCTCTGCTTGCATGATACCCACACACTTGCCATGATACCAGTCCTCACACTGCTCACAGCAAATATAAAACTGAGTTTCATCATATGGCTGTAAATGAGAAAAAGATTCCAATTTGTAATTATTCACTTTACTATATACACACAAACACAACCATGATGTACTGCCTCTGACACTGTACATGCATATATATATCCTATATGAATGGCACCAAATAGGGCTTTGAATGATATAAGGTTGGTTTAAGTATCTCATGATGAAATGATTTATACCTTATTCAGATGTAATTCTTTTTCTTTCTTTCTTGGCATGAGTAACATATTGTTTGACTTGTGTTACCAATACAAATAGAAGTCCCACAGCAAAGACTTTTTAAATACACTTAACTAGAACACAACAACTACCATAACTAAGATCCAATATTTGAGATATATTTCTTCATCAATCCCAGATACTATACAGAAATAGCAACATAATACTAACCTGTCTACAAAAGCAGAAGAGTTCTTTATTGAGCTTGGCATTTGCACAATCATCACAGACATATTCAGTCATGCTACGACTCATGGCTTCTGTGATGCCTACACAGTCTCCATGGAACCAGTTGCCACACAGATCACAGCCAACGTAAAATCTGAAAGGAGAAAACATAGGGCAATCAGTAATCTGTTCTTTGTAGAAAGAAAATTCCGAAATTTATCAACAAGAATTAAAACTGGGAAGTAAAACTTTTTCAAATTCTTACAGAAATTGACTACATAAATCATTGATATCAATAAATCATTTCATTTCTTGATAAGCATGGTTCTTGGTTAAGCACATATTTTCTATAATCAAGAAGCACAAAAATGATGAAATAATTTACACATTTTCTCTTTAAAATAAGAGATACAGGCATTATACTGCCTCTACATAACTACCAACAGTCAGCAGACTGGTCCATAGAAAGAAAAGAGACGTTTTCAGTGCAAAATTGACAAAAGTGTATGATGGAGTAAGGTGCATGGTGTATTATGTTAATAAATAAAAGAATTAAAAAGGGGCATGTGTACTCTAATTGGCTTAGTTATTTTCTACATATTTGGATTTGTAGAGGCATTTTTTTTTTGCTTTTTTTTTTGTTGTTGAGAGAGAGAGAGAGAGAGAGAGAGAGAGAGAGAGAGAGAGAGAGAGAGAGAGAGAGAGAGAGAGAGAGAGAGAGAGGGAGAGAGGGGGAAATGAGAGAGAGAGGGGAGAGGGGAAATGAGAGAGAGAGAGGGGAGAGGGGAGAGGGGAGGAGAGGAGAGGAAATGAGAGAGGAGAGGAGAGGAGAGGGGAAATGAGAGGAGAGAAGAGGAGAGGGGAAATGAGAGAGGAGAGGAGAGGAGAGGAGAGGGGAAATGAGAGAGGAGAGAGAAGAGGGGAAATGAGAGAGGAGAGAGGAGAGGGGAAATGAGAGAGGAGAGGAGGAATGAGAGAGGAGAGAGGAGAGGGGGAATGAGAGAGGAGAGAGGAGAGGGGGAATGAGAGAAGAGAGAGGAGAGGGGGGATGAGAGAGGAGAGGGGAAATGAGAGAGGAGAGAGGAGGGGAAATGAGAGAGGAGAGAGGAGAGGGGAAAGGAGAGAGGAGAGAGAAGAGGGGAGACAGAGACAGGAGGGGGGGGGGGGAAGAAATCAATAAAATAATGATAAATTGGTAAAAAGCAAATGAACTATAATAAAAAAAAAATAACAATATTAGCAATATCTTACTTTGTATCATCAAATGGTGTACGGCAAATACAAACAATCTTCTTGTTTTTGTTCTTTGATGATTTCTTTGCAGAGGTAGACTTCCCTGTTGATTTTGCAGATGTAGGAGATTTAGTGGACACTGGTGCCTTGTTTGTGGGAGTTTGTGAGTTTGAGGGTGGTTGAGGCAGGTGTGGGGAGTCTGCTGATAAGGCAAGGCCACCAGATGATGACATTTGTGTTGTTGGGGACTCTGTAACTGTAATAACAAATGAATTGTAAACAAGGAATTAGAAGATTAATAATCATGATAAAACCAAGAATTATAAAATAAATATGCTGGAATAATATGCTAGCACAATATTCAACATCAACCAAATTTATTCTTGACATATCAATTATACCAAGTATCTCAGCCATAAACTTCAACGGTCCAACAAACACTCACCAATCTTCTTTTTTCTTGGTGAAATAACTTGAGTGGGCATTGGTGTTTCTGGCTTGCTCTTTTCCAACATTTGTAGCTGCAAACGGGCCACAGACAACTCTTTCTGTGGGGATACATTAGTTACTAAGAATTAAGAAAATCTTCAAAATTGACTGAATAATGTTTTGGCAAGAACTCTTAAATTTATTGATGTATGAACTTTTTCTTTATGATATGGTATTCCATTTTATGAACACTGATTAACCCCTTGGTGCCGGGTGACGCCGATCGGCGTGTACACAAAGAGCTCACAAGCTGGCGTGCAGCCGAACGAGCCAGCGGCGCGCCAAAGCGCGGCGAGCTAGTGATTCGGGCTGATGTCCCCTACTCACGCACTCAAAGTCAGCACACCGCCTTTGTTTGTTTAAGCGTTTGTTTGTTTAAGAGTTTTTTTTTTCTTTTGTACACCCAGCGCCATTGGGTTAATAGAAGGTGGGACATGGAGACATGTGGAAGAAGGTGAAGCAATAAGTGATATAAGAAGAGAGGAAAAAAGCAGGAGTTACAATGAAGTAATCCATGTGTTAGTTGCACATTTTAAGTGCGCCATACAACTGGAAGCCTTACATGTATTTCAACTTGGAGCTCCTTCTCTAACTGTGCTCTCTTTTTCAGGATATCCTTCTTCAAGAGGTCTTTATGACGGGACATGAGCGACTCAAGTTTGTGCTGAAGAGCTTGCTTCTTCCTTGCGTCAACGGCTTCAGATTTTGCCGAGGTTTTCTTTGGTTTGCTGGTCTCGCTGGGCCTGGAATCTGACCGCTGCTTTTTTGGCCGTGGTTTCTGAGGTGGCATTGATGTGACTAGGTTTTGTTTCACTTCACTCGAGTCCCATTCATCATCCTGAAATTTTATATATACATATTTTTTTTAGACATCTATATATTTGAATAAAAAATGTACACAGGTACTGGGTTAGACCTTCAAAACATTAAAAATAGTATAAGATGTGAAATACTAGATCAACTTCTATTTCCTTGTAAACAGTAACATTAGGAATGAAGAGGTGAAAAAAAAAAAAGATAGACAGAACTGTATATAAAGTAGATGACATTGGCAAAAAATACAAGGCATTAGCCAAGCGTCTTACCTGGTCCCTGATCCTTTTTGAGGTAGTGTTCCTCGTGGCAGAATTTGTGGTCACAGCTGTAGATGATGATGTGAGCAAGCCTGTTCCTTCCTCCTTCTTTGTCTGTTCACTGTTGTACTTTTGTAATTGCATTAACTTCTCCTCAATATCTGGAGCTAAGTCTTCTTTACTTAAAGCAGACTTTATTGCTGTAAAAAAGTGATGTATAAGTAAGAATATAGTATAAAATGTATGTTTATTTCTATTCCTTCAGTGTCCTTATTTATATCATAATAATAGTAGTAGTAGTAGTAGTAGTAGTAGTCGTAGTAATAATAATAATAACAGGAATAATGATAATAATGGTAATAGTAGTAGTAGTAGTAGTAATGACAAAAACAACAGCAATCTATAACCATTAACTTACTCTGTTGAATGTACTCTTGCGTGAGAACAAACTTCTTAGGTGATGACACAGGTGATGTCAGTTTCTTCTCATCATTTGGAGAGACACTCGTGGGCAGTGATTGGGTTACTTCCGACTCTGAAGCCATGTTATCATTTGCATTTGTTCCCGAGTCCGTCACTGCATTCTGAAGTTGAAATAAACACATATTTAATTTCTCTTAATCATTTTCAGTAGTATTAAACAGCATAATCTGTGGAAGGTATGAGGAAAGGCAAATTGGACAGTCAATCTGAAAGTTCCCTCATGATGTAACTATCACATTGTTGTGACACATGTGGGTGAGATGGTTATTATTTAATTCATTAGCTGTGGGTACATGCACTGTCCACTATAGGTTTTTGTGAATTATGTTCCAACAGGAAGCTCTACCAGTGCTCAGCACCAAGGAGTCAATTAGTAGGTCCCATGTAACCTGACCTGATTTCCTCCTTTGAATTCTCTTGATTTTTTTCCATAAAGGTATTAATATCAATACTTTTATTATTATGATTATCATAACATTACTTTTCCAGAAAAGAAAGGAAAAGAAAATAATTTTTTCATGAAAATCATGTGATAGGTAGGACTAATTGGGTCCTCTGTTACTAAATATTTTTAGTGCCATCTACGTGTAAAAGATGATTAACCCATTGGATTCAGCTGACATGAAAATCATATCACGTACAAATCTGGCTGAGGGCTGGGCGACAGGAATATGCCATCATGGAAAAATTCAGCTGGGGGCCACGAGTGCACAATACTCTTCAAGGAAGGTTAGACTTTGGGCAATTAGGAAGGGGTTCTTGAATTATTTCCATCAGCATTTGGGGGTGGAGTGTACCATTTGTAAGCCATGGCTGGAAGAGTGCCAGCTCCAGGGAGAACACTAGTTTCATGCTCAGGATCTTATTTCAGAATTTTTTTTTATATATATAAAAATATTAACCCAATGTTGCTGGGAAGATGTTTTGCTCATTTAGAATTTTTTGTGAAGTGTCTCTGCATGTGCTTAGTCACAAAGGAGTCAATTAGTAGATCTTGTGACCTTACCTACTTTCACCTTTCCTTGACTTTGTAGAGAAAGCATTTTTTTACTAGTCCTATCAATATCAATGTTGTTATTTTTATTATAGACATTATAATTACTATAATGTTATCGACATTAGTAACAGAAATATAGGATGACAAAATATTTTTTTAATCAAGGAAAAGGGCAAACAGGTGAAATAAATAATACTCATAATTGGTTCATTGGTGACTTAGTACAAGTGGAGCCATCTATGTAAATAAACAATTAATATTAAGTAAACTCACAGTGGGTAAGGCATTTAGGTACATGCCATGCCTGTCAGTTTTGGGTTGACAGTATTCCAGTACAAAAAAATCACAAATTGTGAAATATCAATTATTGTTATTATACATAGTTGTAGACTGCCGAGAGAGATGGAGTCTGTGCAACAAAAATAGTCTATTACCATCTTGATACAGTATATCAAATGACAAATACAGACCCTGGAAAAATTACCAAAAAAGCAAAAACGCTTATGCAGCAAAACAGATGACTATGTTGCAAAAGGAAGGCAAGGAGTCTTGATACTTGATGTGGGCTGGGCGTACAAGTCATTTAAGCAAGCTTAATACCCAGATTTTTAGCCATAAGTGAGGCACCCAGATGCAACAGGTGTGTATCACCATACACATGGCATGTAATAAGTCATCCAAACTGATGGGGTTAATATATAAGAAAAAATAACAGCATTCATATTAACATCTGATGTACTTGTCAACATATGAATGAAGAAAGAAACTTGCCTTTGCAGTCATTCCCTGATACTTAGTCTTTAAGAATATTAGTCTTTTCAATCATATATAACATTTTCAAAATATGATCACCTCCATATCCCAGAAAAATGATTACTGTTTAGAGGTACATGCATCCCCCCTAAGGAAGGAGGAAAACAAACTCAAAGTAGAACATAAAATAAAGAAAAACTCTACTCCTGCAAGACCCCCACCTTTACAGTAATAACAGCTGGAGATTGCAAAACCTGTGGAGATGCTAGAAGACTTCTAAATACTGTTCCACCAGAGCTTTGCTGTCCCTACAAATGGAAAATCATACTATAAAGACAACTACAAAATGCAAGATTAAGAAAAGGAAAGGAAAGAAGAAAAAAAGTGATTCTACAAAGAAACTGAAATAAATCAATATATAAAACACAGGGATTAAAAGCATGAAGAAAAAGAAAGTTTTACTTGCATAAATAGAAACTACATGCAGACTAGATCACTATCAACAGAAGAGGGCAGCCAACTTTTTCTAGTTCCTAAATAACAAATGTGGGCTTTAAATGCCAATTATAAAGATTTTCTCTAGTGTTATTACAACCTTTAATTCCACATATACATTTACAATAAAATGCAGCTCATATTGGAAAGGTTGTATACATCTATTAACCCAATAACAACTGGTAAAAAATTCAATAAAGTCGGGCAAGGATCAGTGTTTATTAATGCATGCCACACCAGGGAGATAGTCCAGCTTGTAGTAGTGTGCATTAGATTTCACTCCAGCAAATAGGTTAGACTCATGATGCGGTGAGGCATCGGTGATCCTTTGCCATGAAGTTTTATCAAATCACAGGGGTGAGTGTGAAATAGAAAGCCTCTCTCACTGCTTTTATATCTGCTTACTTTCTGAATTCTTACTGAAGATGCATTTTTGAATGCAAGGACTGCTAATTAATAAAACATATTCTGACTGTAAATATTTGTTAGAGCAGAAAAAATATCCAACAAGGTAAAGGAATATAATTATCTCCCCCCCCAACCCCCCCACCCTCTATACTTCTGTATTTAGTATACATGCCTCAAGTCATGACTTTGAACAAGTAAGATATATAATCGATAGAATATGATCATAAATCTTGTGACAAAGGAAAACCTAATGTCACTGAGGACAGTATGCACATGCCATGCCCAGTGAGATTTATAGTTCAGTAGTCAAATTGTTTTTACACATAGAAGGCTCCACAAGCACTTAGTCACCAAAGAGGTAATTAGTAGTTATAACTATCCTGTTTACCCCCTTTCCTTGATTTTTGGAAATACAATTTCTTTTTATTGACACTAACATTGTTAATAACATAATCATCATAATGTCACTAATGATGATAAAATTATTAATATTCATTGCAACCCCCCCCCCACATCCACATAATGAAAGGGGAAATCAGGTGAGATCCTATAGGACTACTAATTGACTTCTTGGTGGCTGTGTACTTGTGGTGCCATCAATGTTTAAAGACAAAGACAAGAATAAAGAAAGGAAGAAGAAATAAATAAAATATAACAAATAAAAATTATAGTGCCCATTACATGTTCACAGCCGCATTCAGTTAATCTCTTACAAAAATGAGGAAGTAGGGTAAAAAGAAATCAAATCACATCTACTACATAAACAAGCCCCACTACGCATAATAAGCCGCTTGCTTTACCTGTTGTGTAGCTGCCTGTTGTGGCTGTGGCTCATCCTGAGACTGGGATGAAGCTGAGGATGTTTGTTGCTTGTTTGGCACATGAAGCGTTAATGCCATCACTGGTGACAACTGATTTACTTGTAAATTATCTGTAATAAAAATATTAATAACTTTAACAGGTACTTTGAAAAATATAATTTCATTGCAATAATTCTAAACTGTAATCATCTCTGACTTTGCTTATATAAATGAAGCTCACACACACAAAATTTAAGTATATATATATATTAACCCATTGCTGCCGGGGATGGCATGTACGTACATGCCATGCCCACTATGAGTCGACTTGTTCGATTGTTTTTACACACAGATGGCTACACTTGTACTAAGTATCCAATGAGCCAATTACGAGTACTGCCTGTCTCGCCCGTTCACCCTTTTCATCGATTTACGAAAATATTTAACGTTATCCTAATTTGCTGTTAAAAATAACACCATCTATATTCATAGCACTAGTAAAAATATGTTTTTTTCCTGCCAATTCAAGGAAAGGTGAAATCAGGACTAGAAGAGCCATCTATGGACAGAGATAATTCACAAAAATATAAAAAATGAGTACTGCATTTCCCCCATTTTTTATTCATTTTCCCCGGTGGCAATGGGTTAATATATATATGTGTGTGTGTGTGTGTGTGTGTGTGTGTGTGTGTGTGTGTGTGTGTGTGTGTGTGTGTGTGTATATATGTGTATGTGTGTGTGTAAATAAAAATATAGAATTTCATACAAACAGCAAATATTATTAACCCAATGCTGATGGGTATGGCATGTACATACATGTCATGCCCACTGTGAGTTTACTTGTTTAACTGTTTTTACACAAAGATGGCTACACTTGTACAAAGTCATCAATGAGCCAATTACAAGTACTGCCTGCCTCGTCGGTTACCCTTTTCCTCAATTTACGAAAACATTTTATGTTATCTTATTTTGCTGTTACTCATCTTACAACATTATAGTAATTATAATATATAATGAAAATAACACTACTGATATTCATAGCACTGGTAAAAAATAAAATGTGTGTATATATGTGCATGTGTGTGTGTAAATAAAAATATAGAATTTCATACAAACAGCAAATATTATTAACCCAATGCTGATGGGTATGGCATGTACATACATGTCATGCCCACTGTGAGTTTACTTGTTTAATTGTTTTTACACAAAGATGGCTACACTTGTACAAAGTCATCAATGAGCCAATTACAAGTACTGCCTGCCTCGTCGGTTACCCTTTTCCTCAATTTACGAAAATATTTTATGTTATCTTATTTTGCTGTTACTCATCTTACAACATTATAGTAATTATAATATATAATGAAAATAACACTACTGATATTCATAGCACTGGTAAAAAATAAAATGTTCCCGCCAATTCAAGAAAAGGTGAAATCAGATATGGTCACAAGGTCTACTAATTGACTCCTTTGTGGCTAAGCACTAGCAGAGCCATCAATGTGCAGTGACATTTCACAAAAAATATAAAAAATGAGCACAGCATTTTCCCCATTTTTTAGTCATTTTCACTGCAGCTTTGGATTAATATACTGAAGAATCTATTACATACTGAAATACATTTCAGTTAGCATCAATAATTCAAATGAAAATGATACTGATATAACTTACACTGGGCAAGCATATTCCGAACTTGCTGTTGGATAGCCATTATGTGGTCCTTTGTCAAACCAACACCAGGCTGGAGTCCTTGAATAATTGTCTTTGGACCTTGTTCTGTCATGCGAACTTGTACTCTCAATGTCAAACTGCTACCAGAGCTAGCAGTATTCTGGTTATCACTGGATGTTGTTGTGCTTGTTGATGTAGCAGTGGCAGTGGTACTTGTTGGAGACATTACAGGTGTAGTGGTATTGTTGGATAACACCGTTTTCACCATGGTGCCATCAGGAGCCAGCATAGTCTTTATGCGTGGAGATGTCTGTCCACTTTGAACAACAACCTGTCTTGCAGTGCCTGAAGGAGGGGTCCCAGCTGCTGCTTCACTAGCACCTACAGTAACAACTTGTTTATTTTCACTGCTGTGTTTCAAAAGGACTTGTTGACCATTTACCTTCACGACATGAGTGGTTGGACTGGTAACTGTAGAACTTCCTGTAATTGTAGTTTTGTTGGCATTATCCAATCCAGTCAAACCACTACTTATAACTGTTGTTGGCTGAACCATTTTTGTTTGCTGTGTCACTTGTATAGTGGAAGAAGTTGACACTGAAGTGGTGGCAGGAGTGTTGGCTGCTGCAACAGCACTTTTTGTATGAATGAGCTGAAATTTTCCATCAGGACGCTGAACCAACTGTTGTCCCTCTAAGAGTC